GAAGACCGAGTCAATTACTGCGGATATTAGAAGGCTTTTCCAGAAGATGGTTAATTTTTTTGTCTGTATTTCATAAGGAGAAGTTTAAAGTCAAAGTTTAGGTTGCCCTTCTCTATGATTTTTTGGAATGCTAATATGGTTTCGCCTTATTTCATTGACTTTGTATTTACTCTCAGAATATTTCTGGATCATTTTTTATTTTTCTTCAAATTAATTTTTGCTCAAATGATTTTAAAAATATATTTTTATATTAATTTAATATATTTAAAAAATTAATGTTAATAAAAATTTATCTCAAAATTTAAATTTTAATCTTAACCTATAAAATGACATGTATCTACCTATAACTTTAATTCTTAGGGGTTGGTTTCATGGTTTCTTATCTATCAATTGTTTTAAGTTGACACCACCCTATATCTATTCTAATGATAGCAACATATTCTCGTAGGATTAGAAAGTGCTTACTTATTTCCATTTTTTCAAAGATTTTTGATGGGGATAGAAATTGGCCCTCTATTCCCATTGACTCGTGAGGAATGGCACTTAGGAGATTCTGCAACCTTGCTAATTTAAATTATAAAATTAATTTAATTATTTTTATTTATTATTTTAAAATAAATTATTTTAAATAGTTAGATTAAAGTAAAATAATTAAAAAATATTAAATTTGGTTTGATTTAAAATAATTGAATATTAGTATTAAATTAAATTTAAAATAAGTAAGGAGTATACCTCTTACTATGAATTAATAAATATTTAAATTGTATTTGATTTAATATATATATTTTTAATATTTCACATATAGAAGAGGTCTCCACAAGTCTTCACAAAATCAGAAAAATTCTTTGCGAAATTCCACAGAAAGAACATATTCTGGTTCCCATTCCATCCCAATTGAGAAATTTTACAAAGAAAACATACTCCCGACCCCACCCTGCTCCTAGGGTGGGGATCCCTCGAAGAAATTACCATCTCTACTCTCTGCAGTGGGAAATGGGAATCCAAATTATTTGCCTTCGATCCCAACTAAAGATAATTTGATGTGCACCACCAGCCAAGTATATACTAACCAACGGAAAAAAGAAAAAAGAAAAAAGAAAAAGATCTAAGCTTCTGCTTCACAACAGGAAATAGGAATAGGAATGACTCAGGAAGATTGGGTGCACAAAAGTACCGGAGCAGGGTGACTGGAAATAAATGAAAATATTTAATTAATAA